ACCAACGGTCAGCAGCGTGCCACACTCACAACCAAAGCACAGCAACAAAGCCCACAACACCACTTGCCACAAATGCTGCCACGTAAGGCTCACTGCCACCTGGGTCTTTCCTCCTCTGCTAGCCACCCACTTCATTTTGCTAATCTACTTCTACCATGTTCTTCAAGTCTGAACTCAGAAAATAAAGAGGAAATGTATATTTTTAAAAGGTAACAGTATGAAAAAGAGCAGAAACAGTTGAAAGATGAATGCCAGTGCTTAACAATCTTTATAGTCCTGAGAGATTTTAAGTACCTCATAGTATAAATATATCTACTGAGCAGCAATTATGCAGGATACACTGTGTAGGGGTATATTAGAAATAAGATCTAATCCCTACCCTGGAGGAGCTTCCCGTCGGAGGAGGTGGTGGGAGACACCCAGGTAGCAGTAAGAACAAAGAGTGAGGAGGTTTCCAGCGAAGGCTTGCTGAGGGATCCCAGTTCTGAGTCCTGAGAGTGGCTGGGAGCAGAAGGGTTGGGGGAGGCGTGCAAAGGAAGAGAGCAGCTTGTGAAAGGCCTGGGGCCAAATCAGAAGTTCTGAGGTCTTTATAAGAAAGCTGTACTTCCAGGATGACAGGGTTAAATCAAGCCTTGAGTTTTCTGCTCCAGGCTGACCAGCCTTGTTTCTCTGCTCATGCCATTCCACACAGGGCACGTCCTGGAGACTGACAGGGGCCAGGAAGCAGGCCTGTCTTTTAAAGTCCAGTTGGGGGCGGGGGGAGGGGGGGTGCAAAAGATTCCAGATTTCAGATTGAGATAGCTGTCCAAAGAAGAAGACGTGTTTAGATGTTTAGCCCTGAGGATAGATGGTGACCGTAGTTTTAACAGCAGGTTAAATGCCCAGTGAGCTTCAGGAAGAAAGTCCTCCACACCATCTAAAAAATGAACGCATGCGAATGCTTAAATGACTCCTAATAAAGCTTCAGAAGTGGGCAGCAGAAGGAATACTGGCATGTCGAGTCCTCTCGAAGCCCTCCAAGTTAGTGACTCGGAGCATTCCAATGGAACTAGTGATGGGATTAAAATGCCGTTTGTGGATTTTGTAATAGATTCTGTTCTGATTTTTAATATTTGTCAGATGGGCCTTTTTTCATGCAGGACTCCTATAACTAGTCACTGTAATTCTGCATTAATGCCCATTGATTTTCCCATTGCTCTACAATATTAGTAACACTAGCAAATCTCTGAGTAGGCTGTGTTATATCGCAGCTAAGACTTAACACTTGGCCAAAATCTTAAATTCACAAGATGAATCACATACTTAAGTAAAAGCTGTTATGTACAATACTTAAGAGCAATCAAATTTTCCATTACAGATACTGTTGTTTTTACTCCCTTTTAATTAAAAAAAAAAAGTGCCTTGAGGGGACTTTGAATTTCTAAGCCTGCTAGATCAAAGATTTCTTCAGCTGTCTGAATTATAGGAATGTTGAAAAACAAAAACAAATTCTTTTCCTACTATAAAGTCCTTGCCATGTTTTTGTCTTTATGTAACTCAAAACGGCTGAACTGAAAAAAGAGGTTGGTGAGTTCTGTTCAAAACCTAAGAATTCATCAGAAATGGGGCACACAATAATTTTGAAAGTATCATTCTAATTCATCTAACACAAGAATAAATTTTACTAAATTCTCATCCAATGATCCAGAAAATTGCTAAGTAACATTTTGAATAAAATAATTTATGGCTAAGGATACCAAAATGTTTAAAATTGTTTGTTAAAGTGATTCAAGACTGAACTGGAACACTTTGGATATGGTGGCAGTGGCAGCCAGCGTGCTTTCCCTCAGGTTCCACACACGCTCTTCACTCCATACATGTCCTTCTAGCAGCATGATTGGCAAAATAGTGCATTGCTTTTTTCAAAAGTTTTTGCAGAAAGCATAGATTCTTTTTCTTGTAAAGCAATAGTTTGCAGTCATTATTTTGCTGGTATTTTTGGTATAGGGGCTGACCTTCAGGGTACAAAAATAAACTGTTTTTAGCAGGGTGTGTGGCATTAGCTTATTGGCCATCTGGTATACCAGGCTGACAACTTACTAACTATGCACTAGCGGTTTAGACAGCACTTGAAAAAGAACTACTTTCTGCTTTGCCCCTAGAGAGATGTTAGTATGCTCATGTGAATGAAAATAAAACTAGATGGTAAATACGATATCAAGCACACATCCTATGCATGGTGGATAGCAGTGGCTTATTTGATCTCTGACATTCAAGGTTTGAGACACTTTATATATCTAAGAGGTTGTTTCCAATTACTTTGCACGTCACCTAATGTTTAGATTATTCAAATTTATAATTATTAAAAAGAAATGCATTCTAAAGAAAAATTGGAAGATTGAAAAATATATATATATATAAATATAAGAAGTTTTTCAAATCTCACCATTTGTATTTGCTTTAGGTCAACTTACATTTTGTTGCATTTGCTTTATGAGTGTATACATAATAGAGATCATGCTGCATACAAAATTTCTACTTTTTTAAAAAAATCCATTTTTTCATGTTACTCCTAAGTTCTGTAGATCAGTTCTAATGAATGCATACTATTCTGTTATGGAATGTATGTTTTATGACCATTTTGGGACATTCGAGTTGCTTCCAGTATTTTGCTATCATAAATAATTGTGCAATTCACATCTTTATACATAAAACTTTTTCAGTATTGCTGTATTAGACAAAGACTTTAGGCTGCAAATCACAAAAAATAACTCACCCTGGCTTAAGCAGAAAAGGAAATGTATTGGCTTGCATAGCTAATAAACTGGCTGTGCAGATTGGCTTGAGGCATTACTGGACTCGATGGTGGGTTCAGGCATCCATCGTTCTGTCTTCTGGACCAGCTTCCTTCTGTGCTGATTTGGTTCTCAGACCTGCTCCTTCAGATATCTCGAGCAGAAGTCCCACGACTGAGGCTCACTGCACAACTGGGGTCAAACACATCTCCCATGGTGAGGGAATGTTTGGGTCGGCTGACAGGACACCCCTGCTCCCTCTCCCTCTCCTCACTCCCCATCACCCTGGCACTGCACAGCTGGACTCTTTGCTGTTCCTGGAACCCACCAGCCTGCTGTTCACTCAGAGCCCCTGGTCTTGGTGCCCTCTGCCTCCTACACTCTCCGCTCCATGTCCCCACAGCTTGTTACCCCCTCACTTCCTTCAGTCCACACTCAGGGACTTTCCTGATGACCTCTTTACTCTATCCTCTCCCCCCACTCTGTTGCTCTTCAGAGACTTGTTACCCCCTGATGTTCTGCTGTATATTCATGTGGTATATGAGTAATGTGAATTATTTGTCTCCTTCCATGAGAGCCATGAGGGCTGACACTGCAGCTCTATCCAGCCCTCAATAGATATTTATCGATTGAGCCAATGAATGAGTTTGCCAGGCCAGGTACCTACGCATCTGGAGGGTCAGTCTTCACTAAGGACGACAAATGCTTGGGGAAATGGTGTGATTGCCCAAGGACACTGGGTGGCTATCCCCAGAACACAGCACTGGCCAAAACAATGACACTCATTACAATTTCACATCATTTTCTAAAGCAAGTTCCCAGGAGTGGTACTTCAAAGGATATGAATGTTTTGAGTATCATGATACACACTTTAGCTCCTTTTAAAACTAATCTTTCTTACCCTGCCTGAGGGGCTTAGTTGGTTGTGGCATCATCCTGTAGACCAAAATGTTGGGAGTTTGATTCGTGGAGGTCAGAACACACACTAGGTTGTGGGTTAGATACCCAGCCAGGGAATGTACCTGGGTTGCAGGTTCAATCCCCAGTTGGGGCGCTCGTGGGAACCAATCAGTATTTCTCTTTCACATTAGTGTTTCCCTCCCTTTCTCCCCCACCCCCCCCCACCTACAAAAATCAATGAATATATCCTCAGATAAGGATTAAAGAAATCTTTCTCAAATGCAGACCACATCATGCCCCTCCCCAACTTAAAACTGACAGCTTCCCACTGCACTGTGAATAAAATAACTCTATCCTGGCCCCCAAGGCCCAAGATTTAGTCCCAGCCTGACTCCTCTGACCTCTGAGGATCCAACACGCTGGCTTTCTCTCCTGCCCCAGAACCCACTCCCCCTCACCTCAGGCCCCTCACACTCCCCCCTCTCTGCCTAGCAGGCTTACCTGGCAGATTTCATCTCACTGCCGCCTACTGTTTCTTCTCAGACCTCAGTCTGAATGTCTCCTCAGGAGGCCTTCCTTGGCCACTGGAACCATACTCCCTCCTTGCTTCTCCAGCAAGCATGGATGTATTTTATTCATAGTACTCATCATGCTTTTCATTCACCCTGTTTACACCAGAGGCCCTCACTGCCCACTCCTATATCCCCAACACTCAAAACTGGTACCTGGCAGAGCAAAAAGCCTTTAATACATTTTTGTTGGGAAAATAAAATTAACAAATTGCTCTCCAGTGGGGCTGAAAGGATTACTATCCCCATCAACAGTAAGAATGCTCATTTCCTCTCATCTCTCAATGAAGTGATTTTTCTTAGAAAACAGCTCAAACGATGGAATTCTATTGGACCCTCACCACACGTGACCCGGAGGAGATGCAACGAGGCCGTGTTCTCACAGAACAGCACCCGGATCCGGGCAGAGGCGGCACCGACTGCTGCAGCCGGGCGTGTTACAACAAGGCCCCAGCAGGGTTTTACTTTCTCATCTGATTTATGTTAAAAAGGTTCCTTTTTGTTGCAGCTGAACTCAAGGGAATGTTCTAAAAATGTTGCATTTAGTAAAAATTAGTGAAGAGGCAGCTCAAGTATTTGGGATATGGATGGGCATCCGTCCATTCTGTGCATTCCCATCCCAAATTATCCGGCTGCGTTAGTACTCTGACGTACAGAATCCTCTCTAATATGTTCACTGTTACCATGAGAGTGTGCATATTTTTGTATGTTAATTTTTAAAAGAATTTCATATTTAAATAAAGTCTTGCAAAAAGAGTTGATCTATATATAAGGTGTTTAATATAGAGAGCATCACAGCACCTGTCATCAGGTAAAGGTCCCCAGGACATAGATCAGATTATCCCAATCAAATCTCCCTTTACCCAAAGAGAGTTTGTTTAAATACAAAATAATAAACTTCTTGTCCCCATGTTTTCCTGACAAATCTTCAGCAACACTTAACTTGGGGGTCACAAGTAATTCAGGAAATAATGATTGTGTTCCTCAAAAGAAAATAGCTAATACAAAGTTTTCTAGTTTAAAAATAGCACCACTAAAGAAAGGGGATATGTCTTTTAAGTACAAAGTCCCTAAACAAGTGACTTACCAAAATTCATGCAAAGTAAGCTTTGGCAGAAACTCTCCTGTGTTCTGGAGTGGGAAATAGAAGCAAGTAAAGACAGTGCAAACAGTAACTTTGAAAAGTCAAAAGACACACACACACACACACACACACACACACCCTGGTAGGGCATTTTCCTTGTTTTCTGCCAGGTGCATCACCAGTCGGGGACCTCAACCACAAAGGGTGTTTTCACGTCTATCTTGCCACTGTTGACAATGGAGCAGTCGGTGAGTGGACGGTCATGCCCATCAGTCGCCTGAAGTTCTATGGAGTGGACCACTGTCTGGTGAGAGAAAAGCAGACCCATGATTCACTCCTGACCAGCAAGTATGGCAATCAAAAAATGAAAATGAAATCAACACCAAGTCTAAAAGCCCAAGTAGGAAGTCAGTTGTGTTTTTTCATTTGTTTGTTTCTTGATTTTTAGTGTTTTTTTTAATGATTATAAAACCATGCAAGCTAATGATGGAAAACTTAGAAAATATTCAAGAAATTTATAAATAATAGAATAAAATTTTACTCACTACCTTGCTAATTAGAGATTATATTTATGTTTTCTTCTTTTTATTAGCATTTTATTTTCTAAAGAAGTAGGTGTTTTTGTAAATACCAACCTCTAATAAAATACATTCCCACTCACTTGTTACAACCCAATGTAACAGTTAATATGGAGGCTGAGTACATTTCACCTCCACCTGTGATAGGTCTGGGCGTCATAAAATGAGCCAGAAAGCAGATTTAGAAATGGAGCTAGTTCTGGGTTGGCCATTTTACAACTGGCCCAAGCCATTAATCTGTAGGTTGAGTCTAACACTCATGTCACCCCAACCCCACTGTGGTGTACAGGTCCCTTTCTCTGCTGTGCAGGATTTCACAGGCCCCGGGCTACCTCATGTCACATTGCTGGAGAGAGAACTGGCCATGGACTAGAAAGTTGGCTTCTGGTGTTTCCCAAACAGGGTTGAGACTAGCAGCAACAGAGAATCTGAGTGGACCTGGTGTCAAATATTCCAGCCACCAGCTAACTTAGATCCATTTAAGATAAAAGGCCAGCATTCTTATATATTTCTAAACAGACTGTGTGTGCACACATGTGTACTTAGAGCAGTGACTACACATCTGAATTTTTGTGATTTTTAATAAAGATTAAAAAATAAAGATTTTGTTTATTTACCTTTAGAGAGAGGGGAAGGCAGGGAAAAAGAGAGGGAAAGAAACATCAATGTGTGATTGCCTCTTGTACGCCCCCCAACGGTAACCTGTCCCACAGCCCAGGCATGTGACCTGACTGGGAATCCAACTGGCGACCCTTTGGTTCACAGGCCAGTGCTCAATCCACTGAGCCACACCAGCCAGGGTTACCTGGGGAAATTTTTTAGAAAAATACTTATTTAGCCCTGGCTGGTGTGGCTCAGTGGATTGAGTACTGGCCTGCAAACCAAAGAGTCACTGGTTCAATTCCCAGTCAGGGTGAATGCCTGGATTTCCGGCTAGGTCCCCTGTAGTGGGTGTGTGAGAGGCAACCACACATTGATGTTTCTCTCCCTTTCTCCCACCCTTCCCTTCTGTCTAAAAATAAATAAATAAAAACTTTTAAAATAATACTTATTTAATGGTTAAAATGGAAACACCTATGTTATGTTTATTTTGCCACAATTTAAAAATGCTTATTTGTGGGTCCACCCCTGGAGGTTCTGCTTCTGTCAGTGTGAGGTGAGGCCCACAGATCACCTGGGTTGCTTTGTGAACACAACCCAGATGATCTGGGGAGAATCAAGGGATGGCATTCAGGAGATTCTCTAGATTCCTTGAAACTGTATGAGATGTACACACACTTTTTTTCTGGAAAGAAAGGTTTTCATTCATTTCTCAAAGTTTATAACCCATAAAAGTCAAGGACAGGTCCTCTAAGAGCAGACAGCAGGTCTCCCAGGATGTGTACCAGTGGATGGAAGGAGACTGTTGTTGCAATTCGGGCAATAAAACATAAGATCTAGAGAACTAGAAGAAAAACCACAACCAGAAGAACACCCAGAACTTGTACTCTTCAGTTATCTTACAGCTTAGAACAATGTTTCATTAAAAAAATACTCAGTGAATGGGTGAATGAATCAGTGTACATTTAAACTTTTTAGAACCTGGTGGGACCCTAGTGGTCAAAAGCAAAGTTCAATAAGATGCTGGAGGAGGGCTGGCATTCGTTTTCATTTCAGAATAGAAATAGATTTTCTATTTCAGAATATATATTTTTTTGGAGAATAGTCATGGCTTGTGAGAATATAGGCATGTCCTTTATTGTGATGGGGTGTGAAGTGATATATTGACAAGTGTTTTCCCTATTTTCTTCTTATCCCACTTGCTAATGAGAACCCTATCTTTGACGTCTCAGGTTGGGCATCTCCTTGCCATGAAGGGAGATTCTGAGTCGGCCAGCTCACTTGCTGGCCTTCCGTTGGGTAGAATCAGAATAGCAGGTGAAAGTTATAGAAGAACTGCAATGAGTGAGATTGGTATATTTACGTTCGGATGAAGGAGGCAGAACAACTCACATGAAAAGAAAACAAAATGAAATATGGAAGAAAACAAGGATGGCCCTAGGTTGGGTTGGGCAGACCTTACAATTGCCAGTACAACTGTCGAGAGAGCTAAGAAGGCGAAATACTGAAAACGGAAAAGAATGGGGATTTTAAGAAGTGTTCCTATGGACTATCAATTGAACACCTTTGATTTTTTTTTTTTGAGACAAGCAGCATAAATTTGAATTCTCTGTAGTAATTTTAGTTGCTATACTGTGTCTTTAAAGGTGACTTGTGTCTAGACTGAACCACATGGGGTGCTATGTTTTTTTTATATTTTCTCTTTAATTGTGGTAAGAAACATAAAATACTTACCATCTTATCCATTTATAAATGTACAGTTGGGGAGTGTTAAATGTATTCACACTGTGGTGCAGCTAATCTCCAAGACTTTTCATCTTGCAGAACTGAAACTCTACACCACCAAACACTGACTCCCCACTCCCCCACCCTCAGGGCCCTGGCGACCACTGTTCTGCTGTATGTTTCTGTGTGTTTGACTTCTTTAGATACCTCATGTGAGTGAAATCATACAGTCTTTTTATGACTGCCTTATTTCATTTAACATAATGTTCTCAAGTTTCATCCATGTCGTAGCCTGTGACAGGATTTCCTTCCTTTTTATGACTGAACAATATTCCATTGTTTGCACACACAGGGCCCTGGTTTTATCTGGTTATGTTAAAAAGAGTTTCCATTTGTAACAAGTAGTGAGATAAATTAACTTAAGTACTCAACATCTCCACATCAAGTCCTCAGCTTCTGCCCCAGTGCTCCTGACGATTAAAATGCCATTTTATTTATAATTCATTCACCTTTGAAGAGGCCAGTCAGCATATAATGATGGATTTCTACAAAGCACATCTTAAGATCAAAATAAATCATTGGAAGTACTCTCATTATAACTATAAAGCTTTGAATAAGAAAAATAATACATCAAGTTACCATTCCATCGATGACTTTTCCAAATACCACATGTTTGCCATCCAACCAGGAGGGCTTGGTCAAGGTGATAAAGAACTGAGAGCCATTGGTGTCAGGCCCGGCATTGGCCATGCTGACCCACCCAATGCCGTAATGCTTCAGTTTGAAGTTCTCATCTGGAAATGTCTCACCGTAAATGCTTATACCTGGTGAGGCAGAACAAGAAAGAGGAGAATCAACAGATGTTATACGAAATTAAAGTCTTCAAAGGGAAACATAAGGTTTTAGTAGAATTGGTAAATAAAGGCTGATAAGAGTGGGGAATGGGGAAAAGATGGTAGAACATGAGGAGAAGTGAAGGAGGGCATAAAATTAACTCCGAAAGGAAGCCGGGCACCAGGGACTGAAACAAACACACACAAACAAAAGCCTTATATTTCACACAAGATGGCAGGATAACCTCTGGCCCAAACCAAGGGCCAAACTCTGACCATGGAGGCCTGTGATTTCACTGCAAAATGAGAAGGAACTGAAGGGCAGGATGTCATTCAAAAGCCAGACTGAAAGGTGGATGAGCCATCCTCATGGCTCAGTCTCTGTCCTGAGGTTCAGGCCACGTGTCCGGGGTCACTCCTACCTCAGCTACCAACCAGAGAACACTAAGCACTTAATATACACCCTTAGCCAATTCTCAGAACACCCTATAGAACAGGTATTCTCAATCCTGTTTGCAATGAGAAACAGGTTACAAAACTTGAAAACAGCAGAACAGAACTTGACCATCTGGCTTTCTGACTCTAAAGCAGGTGTGTTTTCCTGCCTCAGCACTAAAGGCAATAGCAGCCAGCCTGGAAGTCATTAGGCATTGACGATGACATCAGGGCTTATCAAAATACAGAGGGTGATGGCAATGGGGAACACCCAGTGATCCAACCTTGAACGGAAGAACCAAAAGCAGGCATGTGGGCTGGAGTCCTAGCAAAGCCACAGGTAGAGCAGAACACATTTTCCCCATAAAACAGCAGTAGAGACCATGAGAGGTACATGTTCCATCCTCCAACACCTGGAGTGCCTGTCATGCTCACCCCCTCCCCTTCTGCAGGGCTCCTTATCCATCCATTGCCAACCTTAAAATCCCTGCTCAGTCAGAAGGACAGAGTGGATATCAAAGACAAGCAATGCATAGTTAGCTGGTTGGTCAGTGATGTATGAGATGATCTGGCAGAAAAGCTCTGCCGACAGAGGGATCTAAGCTAAATTAAGTGATCCACAGGTCCTATCTCCAAAACTCAGAGAATTTTAACCCAAGACATGGGTGCACACATTGTATACATACACACACATGCACACACACTCAGGGCAGGGAAGGCAGAGAGAGAGAGAGAAGTGGAAAAGGAGACACAGCAAAGCCCAGTCACAATTCCTGCTGAGCCCAAGGGCAGGAGAGTAGGTCTGTCCTGAGGGGACCAGTCCTTGAGCTGCAGGCCTCTCCAGGGAGAGGGATTGCTTCCCTACGCATCCTCACCAACGCCATTCACCTGAGTCACCTGCTCCATGCTGTATCCCCACACCTTTGCAGCATTTTTGCAAGGGCTAAAAGTAATTCCTGAAGTGCCTGGCAAATCCAAGCATTTAATAATAGTCATTTTGTTATAAGTAGACCATTATAATAAACATAAAATTAGCAGTAGTACTGGAAAATAACCTAGGTATCATTAAAAAGTTAGCAGTTTAATATTCACCAACACTGGTATTTACTAAATTAAAAATCTTAAACCTAAAAATAATTTAAATTCTGTGTACTTATATATACACCATGTATGTTCAGGAAAACAACTTATCACATTTGAAGGAAAATAGTCCAGGGAGCTGGGTGGATAGAACCTCAATAAGAAACAATAAGCTCAGGGGGACTTAACTCTATAAATTCAAGTATCTGTACTTTATAGAACTCTAACTTTGTTTATAAAATTAATTTATATTATAATTTTGACAAGTCATTATCAATTTTTTATTATTTAAAAAGCTGACAATAGCCCCAGCTTGTGTAGTTCAGTGGATTGAGTGCCGGCCTGCGAACCAAAGAGTCCCCGGTTCGATTCCCAGTTAGGGCACATGCCTACGTTGCAGGCCAAGTCAGGTCCCCAGTGGGGGGGCGCATGAGAGGCAATCATACAATGATGTTTCTTTCCTTCTCTTTCTCCCTCCCTTACCCTCTAAAATGGATAAATAAAATCTTTTTAAAAAAGCTGACAATAGAGACTTCTGGCAAAGATGGAGGCGTAAGTAGACAGACACACTGTGCCTCCTTGCACAACCAAAATAAGGACAACAACAATTTAGAAATAAAATAACAACCAGAACTGACAGAAAATTGAACTATATGGAAGTTGGACAACCAAGGAGTTAAAATAGACACATTCATCCAGACTGGTAGGAAGGGTGGAGTTGGGCAGCCAGATGGAGAGAGGTCGTGGCACAAAAAGTGGTGGCATTAAGCATGCAAGATGGCAGCAGGCAGACCCTGGGTGCACAGGTGTCTGGGAGACCCCAGGCGCGGGGTGGCAATGGGCAGACCCAGCGAGGTGGCGATTGTGAAGCAAGGCACTGCACGCAAAGTGGCTGGCTGAGCAGGTGGAAACCAGGCAAAACTGGGGAGTGAGACAGACCACGCAACCCAGGGTCTTAGCCCGGGAAAATAAAGCCTCCGGGCACTGATTGAAAACACCTGTGGGGGTTGAGATGCCGGCAGAGACTCCCAGCCCCACAGTAGAGTTTGTTGGAGAGACCCACAGGGTCCTAGAACATACACAGGCCCACCCACAAGGAAATCAGCACCAGAAGGGCCCAGTCTGCTTGGGGGAAAGGGTGCAAGGGACTGAAATCCAACAGAAAGCAGAATAAGTGCCATTCTTCCCTCTAGGACCCCACCCCCATAAACAGCATCACAGTCCAGCCACTGGGTTGCCCCGCCCTGGTGAACACCAAAGGCTCCACCCCTCACTACGTAACAGGCTCAACAAGACAAAAAAAAAAAAAGCCCAAACAGAAGAACAGATCAAAGCTCCACAGTAAATACAACTAAGCAACCAAGAGATAGCCAGCCTATCAGATGCACAGTTCAAAGCACTGGTGATCAGGATGCTCACAGAATTGGTTGAATTTGGTCACAAATTAGATGAAAAAATGAAGGCTACGCTAAGTGAAATGAAGGAAAATGCACAGGGAACCAATAGTGATGGGAAGAAAACTGGGACTCAAATCAATGGAGCGGACCAGAAGGAAGAAAGAAATAACCAAACAGAAAATAATGAAGAAACAAGAATTCAGCAAATGAGGAGAGGTTTAGGAACCTCCAAGACATCTTTAAATGGTCCAACATCCAAATTATAGGGGTACCAGAAGGGGAAGAGGAAGAGCAACAAGTAGAAAAGTTATTCGAACAAATAATAAAGGAGAACTTCCCCAATCTGGCAAAGGAAATAGACTTCCAGGAAGTCCAGGAAGCTCAGAGAGTCCCAAAGAAGTTGGACCCAAGGAGGAACACACCAAGGCACACCATAATTACATTGGCCAAGCTAAAAATAAAGGAGAGAATCCTAGAAGCAGCAAGAGATAGAGACAGTAACCTATAAAGGAGTTCCCATCAGACTATCAGCTGATTTCTCAAAAGAGATCTTGCAGGCAAGAAGGAGCTGGAAAGAAGTATTCCAAGTCATGAAAGGCAAGGACCTACAACCCAGATTGCTCTATCCAGCAAAGCTTTCATTGAGAATGGAAGGACAGATAAAGTGCTTCTCAGATAAGGTCAAGTTAAAGGAGTTCATCATCACCAAGCCCTTATTTTATGAAATGTTAAAGGGACTTATCTAAGAAAAAGAAGATGAAAAGCATGTATAGTAAAATGACAGCAAATGCACAATTATTAACAACCACACCTAAAACAAAAACAAAACCAAACTAAGCAAACAACTAGAACAGGACTAGAACCACAGAAATGGAGATCACATGGAGGGTTATCAACAGGGGAATGGGAGGAGGAGAGAGGGGGAAAAGGTACAGAGAATAAGTAGCATAAATGGTAGGTAGAAAATAGACAGGGGGAGGGCAAAAATAATATGGGAAATGTAGAAGCTAAAGAACTTATGACACATGGACATGAACTAAAGGGGGGAATGTGGGTGGGAGAGGGTGTGCAGGGTGGAGGGGAATAAAGGGGGGTAATGGGATAACTGTAATAGCATAATCAATAAAATATATTAAAAAAGAATCTGAAGCAAATATATCAAAATATTAAGAGAAGACAAAGCTGGCTGCTAAGTTCATAATCAGCACTACATTATTCTCTGTTCTGCTCCCTAAAAATACTTTGAAATAAAAAATAAATAGTACCCAACAGAAAGAAAAAAAATATAAATAAAAATAAAAAGCTGACAATAAAATGAAAGAATTTTGAAAGGAGATAAATTCATCTGTAACCCTGCCATGTGAATACCAATCTCATAGTTCTACAGTCACGTTCCTAGTCCTCCCCACTGACATCCAACCTGTAGCGTGCTGCCGTCCCTATGAACACACAGCGCTGTGTTCTGCCGTTCATTCCTGTGACACATGTCTTTCTGTGCTGCCACATGCTAGTAGCCTAGCATTTTAATGACTGCAAAATAGTCTACTAAATGAATGTATTTCCACTATGGAAAGATAATGAACACCAAAGTAATACTGTCTAAAATCAGGAAGCCTTACTCATTCATATCTACCAAGATCTGGCCCCCCAAACTCTACGCTTCCTAAAGAATTAGCCTGGTAATCTTCATGACTCTGTTCCTTGAATCTGGAACTCAATATATTGGGCAAATACACTGGCTTAATGTTAGGTCTCGGTCGGTTAAGCGGGAAAGGAAACATGTGAAAGGCCACATTACCGCCAGTGCCGTCTCCGTTGGTGAAGTCTCCTCCTTGGATCATGAAATCTTTGATGACGCGATGAAATTTGCTTCCTTTAAATCCATATCCTTTCTAAAGAGATTATGTCAATTGAATATACAAGCAGATACAACCCACACTGAAAGTTAAACCCCAGTGTTTATCTGGAAATGACACAATGAGAAAATTATACGAAATACCTACAGAACTTGATTAGGTCCCTGCAGTGATTTCCTGTTAGAAATTTATCATTAGCTGGCCAAATCAATAAATAAGTAAACAAATGATGGAAGTAAAGTATTAATGTGAATAGTGAAAAGAGCAATCTGTGTTTTCACTTGATGATTGTTTCCCCTGTTTCTGGAAGCCTAAGGACACTGAGTGCCTGAAGAATACAGATTTTATACAAAAATGAAGTACAATGTTATCAGATGTCTCAGGTTCACCTGGCCTACTAATGTAACATGTTTTCCCCCCAGAAGATATCTTGATCTTGGCTTAAAGAAGGAAGATCCAGTTTGTGCACAAAGGAAATAAAGCTGGTAAAGATACCTCTCCGGTTGCCAAAGCGACGAAGTTTTCCACAGTCTTGGGCACAACCTTCCCAAAGAGGCCAATCACGATTCTGCCAACATCTTTGTCTCCAATCCTCACATCCAAGAAAACCTGTGTGTGGTTGGAAGACAGAGTGGAAGGTTACACGGAAGTCACATATGTGAGGTAAGTGAAAGTTAAAATCTGTTCACATACAGAAGCCCTGCCCACCGGTATTTTACAAAGGGGTCATGAAGGAGCATGATACAAGTTAAAGGAACTCTAATTCCATTTTGTGGGTGGATTTCACAAACAAATATTCATTCAGCAAACATTTATTGCACACCATCTATGGGCCCGACACTGTGGTAGATACTGGGTTTAAAGTTTGACTCAATACTATCCGATTCAGCCAGTAAAGTCTCCATGAATTCCATGGGCCCCCATGCCCCAGGCAAGCACCGCCGCTACTTCCCGTCTCCCAGTTTATGAATGACGGTTACAGTGGAAACTGCTTCTTCTGAAAGGTAATGCCCTCTAATCTTGGCAGAAGAAAAAAAAATTGGTGAGGAGATAAACAGGCTGGCCATCCAGACTTATTTTTCTGTAACTTCAGAGAGTCCCAGATTCCCCGTGCATTCTCAATAGACTATCAAGGCGACAGCAAAAGATGATCCAAATACATACACAGCAGTGCTCCAGAAGGCACCGTGAGACACCAGGACCCCAGTCTTGCCCAGAGGATATCAAATGTGACACGCGGGTCCTGACAAAACCATCTGCCCTGTAAACTTAGAGACTGAATTCAGTCACCACTGTCGTGTTACACAAGGGGGATGTGTTCTTTTTCTGTCACAACATCTTAGTACAGAAGGAAAAAACACATACCCAGAAGTGAATGTGAGTCCCTCTTTTGCAGATAAACTTCAAAAGATCTCTTGCTCCTTTTTTTAACTTTTCATGTGAAATGATATTATATACATTTTGCCTCACAAATCCCTGTGTGAAGATGATTCTGAGACAGAACGCTTGAAAAGGCCATGGAGTCAGAGGGCATTCTATTAGCGAGTTCAGATGATATGAACCAATTTAATGTTTGAATAGGTAAAAAAAGACATTCAAGAGATGGCTTTAAAAATATAAGAAGGGTTGTCAGAGAAAAAAGATGTCTTAGAGTTTAGAAAAATCACAAAGTAAAGACTGTCAACCTTCAGTTTAAGACAAGAGCTTCTGCCAATACATCAGTACATCTGTCACAGAATGATGTGATATTTAGTGTTCCATGTGGCGTTTTACAAGTTTTACATGGTCAAAGCGGCAACAACTGTATTGTTATTTATACAACAGAACCATAGAAAATGCACGAAAGGCCTTGAAATGAGGCAGTGTTGTAGAGGAGAGAGACGCAACACGGCTGAGTTAACATGCCCTCGAGTCTGGTCCCACAGAGCTGGTGTCAAAGAGAAGTCACTTCTCCAAAGGGACTTCCAAGCCCAGGAATCAATGCTCTAACAGGCAATAATGAAGCAGCACTGGGAAAAGAATCAGGGCCATAATTTTAGAGAAACACCATGTAAGATACTAGAAAAGCCTACCAGACTTTTAAAATAAAGAAGAGCAAATAAAGCCCGTGAATGCTTAGAAGGCAAAGAGGATAAAATCTGGGAAGCTTGAGAGGATGAAAAGAAGTCCCAGTCACCCAGCATAACTCAATAAAATCTTATCTTCTTACACACAGCCTAGCACACATATCGATACAATTCCTCCCTCCACCCACCCCCAAACTGCGGTATCCTTTAACTTCATGAGTAATGGGTAGCAAGAAAACATGGCAGTTTTCCCAACTCTAATGGAAATGGTAAAATCTTATTTAGTCAACAAGTACTTATCAAAGATCCATGTGAAAAGCAATGTGAAGTTACAAGCTACACGAGAGAGTCCCTGTCCTAAGGTAGCTCAAATCAAGAGATGGGACAAGTAAAGGGATAACCACAGTACAAGGCAGCACGTGACAAGCACCCAGGACACTATTGCCAGGTGAGGGGGATAGGAAAGGGCTTCGGGGAGGCATCGGGAGGAGGTGCAGATGGAAGGAAGCAGCCTCCAGGGACAAGAATAGGCCCAAGCCCCACCTGGCAGAGTTCTTTCTGGAACCAAAGCACCAAGGAAGGGATGTGGTCTGTGTGCAGAGAAGTAGCGTAGCCCTTCTGACCTCACCAGAGGGGAAGAGAGGCCCTCAGCAGTTCCAAAAGCAGAAGGGTTTGGGAAGGCAACAGAGAGGAGGTAAAGAACAGAACCCAAGGCAACTTGGGGTTCCTTAAGTGGGGGCAGGGGAAAATCCAGGGCTCTTAGACCAGTTCAAGAATGAGGCACAATGGCCTGCACTGGGTGGTTGGTGGCTGAGGGACTAAAGGACACAGTAGTGGGCAGAGGCACTGAAATCACAGGGGAGAAGATGGAGGAGGGGAAGGAGGAAGGAAGCACACATAACTTAGTCAGGAGTGTCTCAGTGTGCTTTACCTGCATATCTTATATAATTAATCCTCACCACATCCTGTGGGGAGAGGCAGGCACTATTCTCACCAGTTTGCAAAGGAGAAAAGTGAGGATTAGGGAGGTTAAGTGATTTACCAAGATTTCCCACCAGAAGTGTGAAAACCAAAATTTCAGTCTGAGGATGTGTCCAATTAGAGTGCGATTTATCGTTAATTAGGCTCTCGAAATCTAGGCAGGGAATCCCAAGGGGCAGAAAAGGTGTTTTTAGATCCCTAGTGCCCAGCACACTATCAACTCAAGTACACACTCAAAAAAAGAATGCTAAACAGCTCAGTGCTGGGTGATGCTAAAGGAGAAGCAGGGCACACACACACCCAGCCAGAGTGAGGGTCGGCCCCAGGTGGCTGCCAGGCAAACTCTTACTTTACACCTTCTAGCCCTGAGATCGTCTCTGACTTTGCTCTGTGCCCTTAGGAACAGGCCCTGTGCTCGACAAGGGGTGGGGGTGGGGGTGGGGGTAGGGGTCGGGGTGTAAAGCCCCTACCTTCGTGTAGCTTACAGTCCCACAGAAGAGAAAACACACATACCAGTAGCTTAATATAATGGGAAGTTGGGTTTTATGAGGCAAGTACAGACAAAATAAGGCCAGAGGTGGGGATTGTCTGTGGGGATCAGGGCGGCCATCCTGGAGAAGTTCGTACTTGAATCCCACGTTGCACTTGAGGAGCCTGCACGTAAGCACTTCTTCACCCCCCCCCTCCAAGAAGCTGCCCCTGAAAATGATATGGAAATTTGGGGGCACTGGGGGTGGGGAGAAATAGGGCAAGAGTGAAGAGGCGCTCTCTTAGCCTGTCTGAAACCCCTGTAGGGTTTAATCCTGTTTCCATTTCTAAAGTAAGCTGTGCCAGCAAGGAAACCCAGCTCCACCAACAGCTGGCTCTGAGCTCTTGTTCCTCATCTGTAAAAAAGATGATTCCGTTCAGGTCTGCACTGCTACAGAGTGATTAATAACACAAGTAATTCCAGCAACTGACCTCTAAAGCCGGGAGCTTCAGTCAGAACTAAGCACTTTGCCTGCTTTATCACATCTAATATGCAATACTCTAGCAAGTATTGTTTCCATCTCCATTTACAAAGGAGGAACCAGAGCCTCAGGCATCAGACAGCGTGCCCAAGATCACCCAGCCTTGGTCTCATGGCCACTCCCTGCTGTAGAAAGTGCCAGCAGCTGTGACAAGAGTACAGCTGGAAAGGTGGCAGCGTTTTATTCTACAGTGTAGGTGCCTGACCACAGAACCTGTGGCTCTGCTAGAAAGCACAGGGCTGCAGGTGCCAGTTCAGTGGATTTTGAGACCAAGGAGCCTGAGTGCCCCCCAGTCCTGAGCCTCTTTAGCTGGGTAGGAAGCTGAGGCAGTGGCCTGGGATTCGTGGACTAGGTGAGTGCCCTTAAAGGGCCCTGCAGGAGAGTAGTAACCCATACCTCATTTGTAGATTCCTATTTTTAGAAACCAGAGGAAAAGGTAAAAACTGCTAGGATAAAGAAGACACTAGAGCAGTGGCCAATTAACCTACTTTTCCACACTCAGAGAAATAATTTTTAGTGTCTCCATTTTCCAATAGATTTTGATGTTTAAAAAAGGTCACTGAAAAAAGTAATTAATGAAACAGAGTCCAGTTTGAAGAAGACTTGCCCACATAATTCTGGAGTAGAACACATGGAAACTTCCTCAGTGACAGCACCTTAAACTAGGGGCTAAGATGCTCCAGCTCTTCCCCTCCGGCAGCCACAAGCTTCTTCCTGTCCTGGCTCCCTCTTGCAGAGGTTTCCAGCCCAGGCTGTGCACCCCCAGCGAAGGTCATTGGCTTGCTCTGGGGTGGGTTTCTGCATTGGAAGGTTTAAAACCCCAGGTGAAGCTAGTTCCCAAATATAGCAGGCGACACCCTCACACTAAGAAATTCTCCATTGTTTATCTGAAGTCCACATCTCACTGGGCCTCCTGTACTTTATCTGGCAATCCTAACCCCTTCCCCCGCTCCCTTTCTACACATCAGCAAGTCTTGTTATGCCTCCAAAATCTATTCCAAGTCCCTCCCTTGCTCACCATTTCCACGATTACCACTCTAATCCAAGCCACCACCATCTGGACTCTGGCACAGAGCCCAGAATGACCTCCCAGGTCACTCTCCACTGAGCAGCCATAGTTAATTGTGTAAAAGCATATATGAGATCCTGTCAAACCCATGCTTAAAACCCTTCAGCAGCTCTGACTGCCCTTAGCATAAGACAGAAAATTCTAAGAGTAATTACCTCCAAATCCACACTCCTGTGACCTCTGAGGCCCTGCATGATCTTGCTGCTGCTCAGCCCCTGACCGCATCTCAGGCCACCCCCTCACATCCCTGGGGTGAAGCTACACTGTCCAGGCAGGCTGCCCTCTGACCAGGGGAGGATGCCTTTCTGGAGGCCCTTGCACATGCACTCAGGTTTGCCTCCCTAACTCTTTGCCAGGCTGGTTTTTCTTACCCTTCAGGTATTTTTAAATGCCATCCAGTCATATTAGGCTGTATTTCCTTCATTATTTCATAACTTTATGAACTTTATGTTTATGGCTGTATCCTAAGAGACTCAAATATATTTGCAGACTGAAGGAAGCCCCCCACACCTCTTTCAGCTCTGTGGCCTGCACAAGCCATTTCCCCAAACTAGATAAGCCCAAAAGCTCAAGGGGCTGGGAGTGGAATCTGTGCTCAAAACAATCCCCTAACTTTATCTCATACAAGCTGCCCCCCTCCCCCGTGGCCTTTTGGTTCACTCCTCTGTCAGATGTTGGGCTGAACCAACCCCTCCTCACCCCTTTGACCTCCCCTCTTCTCAGGTGGGGTGTGGGGCAGATTTAAGCATTGTGCTAGTTCCACAGCCCCATTTCCACTGTCCAACACAGGACTGCTGTTACTTGGACTCCTTCCAGATTCCAAGACACTACTGCCAGTAAGTTTTTCTAGCAGTGGTAATGAACAACCAAATCATCTCCCTCTGTCTCTCCCTGCACCCTACCATTATCTTCTAACCTTGGGTAAACATGCTGGAAAAAGTACTGAGGCTAGTGCTCACTTTGGCAGCACATACACTAAAAAAGAAATGAGGCTGGAAGGGCAGCCCATGACAAATTTTATGTCCCTCTAATCTAGACAAAAAAGCTGGCCTGTTACACAGGTGCCACCTGGGCCTGCGGCCAGCACCATCCCATCCCAAGCCCAGGGCCTGTGCACCAGTCACTGAAGTATAAAAACGAAGCTCTCCCTCCCTGGCAAGGACCAGGTTCCTAAACAGGGGAGGACAGCCTCTCCTGGAGCACAGCTTCTAACAGCCTCCTGGGACACCACCTGACCAGGGGCTGGACCTGGGCTCTTCCATGTTGGGTGACATCCCAGCTGCAACCCCTGGGCTCAGAGAGTGTCTCCTCCTCGCATCCCTGTCCCTCCCTCACTCCTCCTGCTTCTGTTCTCCAGTTCACGCCACGCTGAAGGAAGTACTCAGGCTGTCTCCTTCCTGGAGAAAGGGCCCACCGGTTCCGGAAGCTTCTTCTAACCCCTGGGCTGGTCACCTTGGACCACAGACCAAGGGGACAAAGTTCAAACAGCCAGCGATGCTGGAGATGGGCTAGGACTCTGGCCAGCACCCCAAGTAATCTCGGAGAGTGCCCCCCCCCCCCCCCCGCGGCGCAAGCATTCCCCTCTCACCAGCCCCGCCCGCTGCCTCCCATCCTCTGCCCCCTCCTCGCTACCCAACGCAAATGTCCGGGTCCCCAAAGCTCCCCCATCGTTCAGGCCGCCGGGAGAGGAAGTTGCAGCCTGCCGCTCTGTCACCTTGGCCGTCACCGAGGGGCCTCGCTTTCGGAGGCCCGAGGACCCCGCAGAAAGCACGAGTACGCCAAGCCCCAGGCAAAGCACCAAAGGTAGCAGCAGCCGGGAACCTGAAACCATGGCGAACGGGCGGCAGTGCCGGTAGTGGCTGCAGCGGCTCGGGTTCTTCAGCGGGTTCCCTGACTAGTGCTGGGACTCCCGGCCAGCTGCGCCTGCGCGCTCCCGGTTGGAGGGGCTGGGAAGGGACTGGGAAGGGTTGAGGATAGGGCGGTCCCGGCAGGGCCGGAACCCCGGGCGCGCTCCTCCCAAGTTTGGCTCGGTGAAGAACTAGGGACTGGCTGAGGCTCGCAGCGGAGGGTGCAGCCCGGGGCGCGCCTGCGGCGGGAGCCCGCAAGGCCAGGAGCGAGCCCGGGCTGTTGGGGCACAGTGTCTCGGAGAGGCAGGCTTGGCCATAGCCCAGGAGCTAAGAAGTTCGCTCAGGCACCTCCAGGAACCCACCCCACGAAAGTCTAGGACTCTCCTGCCTACCAGTCCGTGGCAATTTGCGTACTGCTTGGGGGAGGAGTTGGGGCGGGACCCGGTAGGGCGACTCTGCAGACGCGCCGTGCCCCGTGGGGCGACCTCAGCTGCCTTTGGAGTATCCTCTGCAGCAGCTGCCAAGTTTCACTGTTGCTTCAGAGCCTTTAGCTAAGTTTTGGACGGCTCTCAGAACTTTGGGACCCCTAGATGGGTTGACTCAATTGTACGTGATGAATAACCTCTCGTTGAGATAATTCTCTTTGGGTATATAATTTTTACAAATTTAAGAATAATGTTTAGGTAGATGATGTAATGACATGGGGAAATGCCCACTATATTTTTATATGGAAAACTAGGGTTGCAGAATCTCAGAAATTCTGATCTCAAACTGTGAAAATAAAGGAATTTTCTTAAATGGAAAGAAATGCACCAAAACATTTACAGTAATTATGGTGTTAGAATTATGGATTTTTGTTTTCTTTGTAATCTTCTGATTTCAGATATTTTACATTGACATGTAAGTATTTTATAATCAATAAAACGTTGTTTTAAAACTTAATGCGTTTTGAATTAGTACTTCAAAAGAACTATTTTATTTTAGAATAACAGCTCTAAAATTAACTACAAATTAATAATAGTATTCTCTTGGTTTTCTTAGGACCTGGTGTCATGACTTTCAAGCCAAGATTTCCCACAGGTAAGCAGGATTTCTATAAGTAACTACGATTAAGTCTAAAATTACACTGGAACTGTTAATATACAACAGGAGTGACCTCAGCTTTTGAGGGGCGGACAGAACACTTCTGAATTATTTTGATAATTCAGTCCAGTGAAGGATCTAATGTCTGTCTTCATCACCCCCAACTCCAATAAAGAAAGAGTCCCCGTTTTGTCTTAAGCGAAGGGTATCAGAGCACTTATCCCACTGAATGGCTGTATGGACTTACCTGTTTTCATCATTGTAATTGTTTTTGTGTAACTTCTATCAGAGTGCAAGTGCCACCAGAGCAGGGAGCACACCTGTTGGGGTTTGTTTTTTTTTTTCCTTTTAATGACCCAGGTCTAGTAAAATGCCTAATATGTAGTGATTTCTACATGAATCTTGTTGAATGAATATAAGCATCTAATTTAATTTTTTTAGTAGGGAAGATAAATAAAAATAAAAGTGCACAAAATGTAACTGTACATATCAGTGAATTACCACAAACCCAACTTAGAATCCCCTTTAAGAAATGAAATATTTGTTAGCTCTTTAGAAACTTCTTTTGTACCCACTCCCAATTACTAACACTTCTCCCCAAATTAACCACAATCATGACTTCCAATACAGTTTAGTTTTAACTTTATATGAATGGAATCTTAGAGCATGCTGTATTCTTTTGCTCAAATTTATGTCTATGAAATTCACATGGGCTTTCTTTTAGCGTGTAACTCTTTTGGTGCATCCATATTTTTTCTATATGAATATCCAATTGTCCCAGCAAATCTTCTTTCCTCACTGCTCTATAGTGCTGCTGCTTTTGTGGAACAAGTGTCCATACATGTTTGGGTCTGTGGGCCCTTTATTCTGTAACATTGAGTTATTTGTCTATCCTTGTGCCAATACCACATTGTCTTAATGGAAATATCTTTATAATAAGTCTTCATATTTAGTGGTACAGGTCCTCTCACTTTGTTTAAGAGATTCTTGGCTGTTCTGGACATTCTGTGTAAACTTGAGAATCAGCTTCTCAGTTTCCATAAACTGGAATTTTGATTGGGATTGCATTGTATCTATAGATTATTTTGGAAAGACAGTGTATTTTTGATACTGAGTCTTCCAATTCATAAGCATGGCATATCCCTCCATTTGTTTACAACTTCTTTAGTTCTTTCAAAATCTTATAGTTGTCTGCCTAGAGATCTTACACATATTTTGTTAGATTGATTTCAAGATATTTGAGTTTTTATATTTTTATAAATTATACCTTTTTAAATGTTTATTTTACTGTTTATTGCTATTATAGTAAAATTAATTTTGTATTTTAATCTTGAATAGATAAACTTTGTTAAAAATCTATTCAAATGATTTATCTGTTAATTATTTAGGATTTGTTCATAGACAACTATATCATCCATGAATAGTGAGCTTTATTTCTTCCTTTCTAATCTTTATATCTTTTACTTCTTTTTCTTGCCTTATTACATTGGTAAGGACCTATAATACAAAAAGAAGTCACAATAATTGTGGGTTAAATTTTGGCCCCCAAAAAGATATGTTGAAGTCCCCAAACTGCAGCATCTGTGAATGTGGCCCTATTTGGAAATAGGATCTTTACAGATATAATCAAGTTGAGATGAGGTCATACCAGAATAGGGTGGGCCCTATTCCAATATGACTGGTATCCATTTTTTTAAAAAAAAGGATAGATGATGCGTGGGTCACCAGCCAGCAGTGATCACGAAACGCTGTGGATGGCTCATCACAAGAAAAAACATGCACAGAGACAGACCAGTTTCTGTGGAGAAGTAGGGACGGAACGACCACCCCCTGTAGTGGGGAGCACGATTTACCATCCAAACTGGCTTTTATGGGGTTCATTTTGCATAAGAATTCAGGTAAAGCACATTACTCATTTCGAGGAAGTAAGGATCAAACGATAGGTAACAAGGAACACTGAGGGTCTATTTTGAGTCAGGATCAAAGAGCTGTAAAACTAAAGAACAAACTTACTTCTTCCTTGGACCCTTATTAGTTCATTGAGAGCATTCTAAACAAAGCAGGTTTCACAGGAGTTTACATATTCTTTCTTAGGCCTGATCACCCCGGGGAACCCGCCCTTTTCAGCACAGAGCTGCACCACCCTGTCATTGTTTCAGGCTTAGGTGGAGCAAGGGAAGTAAGTCAGCCAAGGGATAAGGAGATTTTCTCCCAGACAATCAGGACTCAGGCTATATCACAGCCGAGGAGCGAGGGTCCATCACCCCCTTTTGCTGTAGCCCCCAAAATTCTTTCTTGGGGGCCTCCCACGTGATCGTGCCTGTCTTAGGTCATTCCCCCTTGGGGAACCTTACCCATCATTGGCTAACCAACCAAGCATTGGGGTTCAATTATGAATGAAGCAGCAGAAGCAGCGCTCCTGCCAGGGAGATAAACTTTTGTCTCCTTGGTGGCTTACGGTCCAAGGCCACTCCCTCAACCTTAGCCTTGGCGGGGTTATAGCTTCTGATACCAGGCAGGGCAGTTCCCAACAGAAAAAGACACAGAGAAGAAAACACCACGGGAAGACAGAGCCAGAGATTGGACATATCCTTAAACCAAGGATGTCAAAGATTGTTGGCAACCACCGGAAGAAAAGAAAAAGCAAGGAAGGATTCTACCATAAAGCCTTCAGAGAGAACATAGGCTTGCTACCTCCAGAACTGAGATAATAAATTTCTGTTGTTTTGAGCAACCCAGTTAATGGTATTTTGTTATGGCAGCCCTAGGAAACTAATGAACTTGTGTTGGTTCCAATCCCACAGGAAAAGCTTTCAGTGTTTTACTACTAAATCTGATATTTGCTGCAGGTTCTTTTGGGAGGTGACATCCTTTTTCAGCCTAAGAAAATCCCTCTGTAGTCCTAGTTTGTTAAGACTTTTTGTCATTAATTTGATCTATACTGTTTATTGAAATTAACTGAAATAATTAGATGATGTTTTCTTATTCTGTTAATGTGGTAAATGGCATTGATTTTCAAATTTTAACCCAATTTTGCATTCTGGAATGCACACATATATTGGCCATTTAATATATTACTGTGTGTGGTGAGCTTTTTTTTTTTTTAACAACTTACTAATAAACAGGGAAAAAATGCATTTCTCCTGGAGTTCAGGAAAAAAAAAATGCTAGAAAAAGTTTGGTTTTGGCTTTCCAGTTCAAACCAAGCTAATTACCAAAATCTTACTTTGATGTTAGTGGGTAAGCTTACTAATCTTATGTTTTAGGTATTTGTATCTATATTCATGAGTCAGACCAGTCTGAAGTTTTCCATTCTTGGAATTTCCTGTCACTTTATATCAGGGTTATTCCGGCTCTTCAGCATGAGTGGGCTAATGATAGCTGTCCTTCTTGTGCTTTGAAAGGATTTGCATGAGATTACCATCAGTTCTTTTTATAATGTTTGTTAGAAGCCATCTGGACCTGGGGTAAGTATCCCTTACTGTGAAGTTGTCAATTATAAATTTAATTTTTTAAAGAGTAGAAGGATTATTAAAATTTTCTATTCTGTTGATTTTTATGTATAGTGTTTTTGAGGAATTTAATTCATTTATATTTTAAAGTTTAGTTATTTAATATATCCTTTATAATTATAGGTCTACAGGACCCATAGTAAAAGTCTTCTTTTTTATACTTGACATTGGTTATATTTTCTTTTTCCTTGTACAGCTTCACCCAGAAAGCAGGTGAAGATAATTGATTTGATTTGATTTGATTAGTTTATGTTTTTAATTTTATTATTTTCTTCCGTCTACTTTCTTTGAGTTTGTTATTTTTCTACCTACTTGAAATAGACTCTTAATTTAGTGTTTTCAGCCTTTCCACTTCTATATTGCTCAATGGAATAATAAAATTCCCCTTAATAAGCACAACTTTCAATGTTCCCCAACCATTTTGATCTGTAGTATTTTCACTGTCATTCTGCTAAAAATATTTTCTAATTTATACTTTGTTTCTTTTAGATGCATGTGTT